CAATTATTTTCTTATTATTCTTTAAAACCTTTTTAAAAGTATTCAGATCTTTAATGTTTCTAGTACTCCTGTCCAGGCTATTCCATATGATTGGGCCTCGAAAGTCAAGACTATTTCTGCCCAGTTCATAGTTCTTAAATCTAATTTGTAATAAAACACCCTTTCTTTCAGTTGTAATGAAGTTGAAATTTTGTGACAATCTATGATCAGTCCTGCCACTTCCAGTCTTATACACACTAGTCTACTATGTTTTTAAAATTATAGGTATCCCACTTTCCAGGGTGCTCTTAAGTCTTTAAATGTTAGCATTGGGGACTACTGCAGCCATAGTTTTGATGCAAAGCAAATGATGAGTCATACTCTGTTGGCAGGTTCTCCCTTTTAAATTTCCCTAAGTGAGAGAAAGATTAAAGGGAGACTCTGYCAGCAGGGTAATGACTCCCTTGATTCTCCCCCTATTTCACTTAATTTCCTCTTCACTCACTCACTAATTCACTTCCTCAATATCATTATAATATAAAGTTCATGGGTGATGTGGTGGTTTACYGCTCACCTAGCTCTCACCACTGCGGTCCAGGTTCGAGCCCTGTCTCAGACTTGATCATATGTGAGTTGAGTTTGTTTGWTGTGTTGTTCTCTCCCTTGCCACGAGGGTTTTCTCTGGGATCTCCCRTTTCCTCCCTCCGTARAAAGCAACATGTGAGTTGAGTGTTGTATGTYGTAAATATAGAACGTAGTGGTACCGGTAGTGCGTGTGGAGGGAACCTCACAGAAAAGCCCCGTTTGGGGAGTGGTGGTGGTAAAATATAAGTTTGTTTTTTTTTCATCTGTCTACATACAGAAATCCCTAAAGGGAATCCTTTAAAGTTTTTAGTCAGCTTCAGTTTAAAGGTACAACCCTGTAGTAAAGAATAAATTAAATAAACMAAAATTACAATACTCCAGTTTTGGTTTCATTATTGTTCAGTGTTGGAATTGATTGGGTAGTCTTGTACTTCATGACTAGCTGACATGTCGACTATCTGTTGGTTGATAGTTAGCTGACACCTGTCAGCTGGTCATAAAGTATACGATTATCCATCAATTACGTGTAAAATATTCAGCACTGAGAAAAACCTGTTGAATTCTAAAGGAAATGTATTATTCATTTGTATACATTAATTTTCTTACCTCATTTAACCATGCACTGTTACTCATTAAATACTAAAGAATTACGACATACTATCAAGGTTAACGCTGAGCAATAGAGAACTCAAAACTTGTACTAGTGTTACTTACATCTTCAATGAATTCTTTAGTTCTGGAAAGGTAATTCCTGATTCTAGACTGAGCTGCAGCCTTTAAAGCCAAACTCTTTGTGTTATACTTAGTACTAATTCCCTCAAACCAAGCTTCATCATCTTCTCTTTCTTCTGCATCAATTTTTTCTTTCAATCTATTAACAACTTCTGCCATGATACAGTAGATTTCATCTGATTCTCCATCTTTAATGAAGTTGTGAATATTTTCTACTATTTTCTCTCRTTGTGACAAAGCATTGAAGACTTTCTCAATGGCTTGTTTGAGGACAGTTACATCTTTGATTAAAAACACAATTAACTGTAGTTTAGTTAGCAGCAGTGGATCTACTAAAAAGGGGGTGAAGAAGGTGGGAGGGGGAGGGGGGGGGAGGAAGGGTATAATGACATTACCGTAAATCCTCTATTTAGCCCGGCCCCCAGGGGGCTTATTTATTTCAGGCACGTTTGAGGGAGGGCTTATTGGAGAGGGGGGGTGCTTATTGATTTAGTCAAAACGCAGTATGTAATATGATTGTAACTCAGGATTAAACGGAAGCATTACTATTGACTGTCTTACATAAACTGTAGTGATGTATATGGCATTTTTATTATTTGATTCACCTGTGTTAGTTTCTCAAATATAATTTACGATTATTGTGAATAGCAAAACTAAAACACGGTAATATTAATAAAGCAAGCTAAAAAGACATGTTCTGAACAACCAAGACTTTAATAAATCACCTTTAATCAGTACACGTGATTCTTTAGTTGTGAAAGGGGGAGGTGGGGGGGGGGGCTAAAAAGAGAGGGGGGGCTTAACAAATTCCTTCCTTTAAAAAGGGGGGGCTTATTAGAGAGGGGGGGCTAAATAGAGGATTTACGGTATGTTATTATCATCAAAGCATCAATCTTCTTTCCAGCTTACTACTTACAGCCTTCCCACTCCTGATCTGGACCTACGAAAACGAAAACAGTCTGAGCAGGTAAAGACTGGAAGTACTCGTCGTCTTCTACATTYGTCCCGTCTTCAGTGTAAACGCGGCAGCCATCTCCATCCAGGCCAAGCTTTTCGATGCCTTTCTTCCTCAGATCTGCCAGAGAACGAGCAACAACACCTTTCCTTGTCTTTCTATTCACATCTTGGATTTTATATGCCTTTGTGCTTTTCATCATTGAAATAAAACATATAATCTTAATATTTTACAAAAAGTAAAATGAGGAGTATTGCATATTGGCTCACTTGATCTATACATGGGTTCCCTGTGTAAAAAATGACGGATGGAAAATTGAGAACTACTGCCTAGTCTTACTCAGAAGAAGACACACAGGTAGTCCACGCCACCGGTTTCAGTCGTGAAAAAGAAAAAGAAAACGGAAGAGCTGAAGGAGAAAAAAAGGGGTGAAAAAGGGGAGAAAAAAGAGAAGAAAAAGGGGTTTAAAAAATTCTAAAGCAAGATTACAGATAATGTTTTTTTGAAAAGTAAATGAATAAACTACAAGGGAAAGACCGTCACAAGGTTTTGGTCTACCTGTGTGCTGAGTAGCTTGACATGTCCTTCTCGCCAATGATTTATGATTTTAGAGTCGGGTGCCCAATGAGGCGTTCCCATAGGCTAGACTAGATGACCGATACACCGTTTAGTGTACCATTAATGGGTATTACTTATCTTACGGCCGTCTAATYTCGGTGATAAGGATGTGAGACTAAAATACTTGTAGTACTCAAGCTTCTCAAACCATCATATTTATTGCTTCTGCCGGATATCAAAAGTCCTCGCATCGTTTTCTTCACTCTTATATATATTTTTCAATGGGAATGACTTTCAGTTATTTTTCCAGTCGTGTGGCGAATTCTACATGGGGAATGTTTTGGTGTGATGGATTGCTGCTCAATAAAAACTGTAGTCTAAAAAAGACCTAAAGAGATAATGATCAATAAAATAACTGAAAAGAGAAATTCGAACTTGTGATTACCTTACTTTCAATTTGAGTCAATTGTCTTATCTAATGCTTTCGTAAATAATATTAATAAAAGAACTGATTAGTGAGATAAGAAAGACATTTTTAGTGAAATAGGTGTACGTTGTTGCTCATGCATTGTTGCAATGTTTTCATAACACTCATGTACCCAGCAGTTTCCCTGATCACAATACTTTCTCTTTGAAAAATTAAGGAGTTAAGAGAATTTTTGTTGCCACATTGTTTGCTCAAATGTTAAACCGCCCAAGAAAACTATTATCGAAACCATTTGCAATTGAAGGCTTTACAGCGTAAAACTTCCCCTGACAWGTTAACCGGATTGACTGGATATACCACGCCATAGTGATACGCGTTCTATACTAAACTCCTTATCTAGGTGGATATTCACATCTATCTAGATTGTAACAGGTACGCTTAAAACCTGGGCGTGTGCCTTTTCTCTAACGAAACTATGTTGAGTTATTTTTACTAAGAATCTGAGAACATTTCTTATTAATGCAAATCACAACTCAAAAAAAGTGTCCAAGGCGCCGTTGGTCTCGGCGATCCAACAAAAACTAAGCTTAAAGCAATTAAAGGGATGCCTTTGAAGGTTACGAAAAGAAGACCTTTTAATACTTGAAAAAAAATGCTGAATTGATTGAGTAGTTTCGGAGATGACTCAATCCGAACCCACGAGTATTTATTGCACCTCACTGTTTTATCATTGTAGCCTATAACCTTTTTGACCAAGATTACGCGCTTCTAGTAAGCACTAGTTGACGTACGGCGCTTTGAGGAGGAATGATTTATGATTTGGTGCTCTCAAGACTGGCGCGAAAGTCTCAGTGACGTCTTTCTCTCAGGTATTAATTAGTTACACTAGTGAATGACGATCAAATCGTTCACCATACTTCGAATTCCATTCTTGCTTATTCTTCGAATTCTTTTTAATCGTTTTGATACAGAAATTTGAATTTCTTTTACTTTTACTGTGACTCTCCAGCCATTTTCTCACCAGTTTGTGTGGGCTTTGAATCATGCTTGTCACTAGTCATGCATCCACAAACGCAAGCTCGCATTTTAGTAAGGTACGCTCAAAAACTTCGAGGGCAGTAAATTTCCTATTTATTTTTTACAATCTTTTATGCAATTGACTTTAAAAAGCAAAAATTTCCAAAAAAAAATAATGCCAATTTCAATAAAAACTGACAATATAACATTCTAGATGTTCTCGGTTCAMTGAAGCTTTCCGAAAATCACTCGAGCTCCAGCAAACTGAACCTTGGTGAATTTTGAACGCATGACCTCAGTTGACAAATGAAACAGTRCTGGGTTTGTAATGCTGTTTGCTAGGTTTTGCAAAAGAATTGGAATAAACTGGTATAAAGAAAGAGTTAAATGAAATACCATGGTTTACTTGGCTGGCTGTAAACTGAGGCGTTGCCAACCTGTTGATACATTAACAGTATTAAAAAACGAGAAAAAAACAATCACAGTGTTTTGTTTATTTTTCTAATCGATCAGAACCTCCAAAAGTTTATGACAATAGTACGCCTTTGTGAAAATATTCAAAGAATAAGTTCCGTTGTTTTCAAAGCTTTTTTTGCTAAAAAATATATTCATAAACTTGGTTTTATAATTTTGCCTGAAAACAGCTCAAAAATGCACCAGAGTCGCCGAAATATTTTTCATTTCGATCTGGCGTTGATCTCTTCCCTTCCCTCCCTCCCACAGTAATTATTCCTTTTACAGTTTACGCAACCTGAGGCCAAAGTAACGGCCAGACAACAAGCCGATCCTGAATCATTAAGATTAATACCTTAATTATCATCACTTTTGATAATATGATATTAAATCGAGCGCTTTAGGAATGGCAATGGGTTGGATTACTTCCCCCAGCACCGGAAAATAGCTCACTAAAGGCCGACCGTTTATTGGAGAATAATCAGGCGATGGGGTTACCAAACGCACCTATCAAATAATGATTTATGAAATTACAACTCTAGCGTTTTTAGGCGAMAAAAATTCAGAAGAATCAAAGATCGCAACGAACTTGGTCCTTTCATTAGTGGCTCAGAGGAAGAATTTCAGTGTTGGAGCGCGATGATTTCCAAGACTACTTTGTTGCTGTTGCTGTAAGTAGAAGTGTTTTTGTTCGTGGATTCTGATGACAAAACAGCTTGATGTTTTTGAATGAAGTTTACAGTTTTTTAGGTATATCGATTCATACCTTTCAACAAGAGATATGGAAACAACTCTAGTTTTACTGCTATACTTATCAAGTGGACCGGCGTAGATAAATCAGCGCAGATCAAACCAGATACAACATTGTAATCCTTGGTCTATACCTTATCCCTATGAAGACCCGTGTTGGATAGACAAACTTACTAGCTCTGTCCTGGTATTCGCGCGTGGAACCTTAATTAATATGATTCCACGACATGCAATCTGCCATTTCAACAAGCTCAATGRCAGCCTCAAACTTGTCTTTACGGATGCATTCCTTTTACAATATTAAATAGAGGACCACAGCTTGTAACTCGTGTGCGCTTCTAGGGCGTAGCTAAACTTATTGACTATACGAAGGATTAACTACATCTCGAAGGCGACAAGAAACGAGTTTTTAGACTCAAACAAACACATATTAGCAACTAATGCATTGCTTTTCTTTCTAAGGATGATGGTAGCAGTTTTATGTGAAGGAGGAAGGAGACACCACTTCAGGACAAGAGCTAGAGGTAACTGACACTTACCAAGAATTAACTCAGGAATAAGATTGAACTTTTAAACAGTGTAATACTCTTATTCAGTGTCTTGATTCATACTATGAATTCCACAATCTTTTATTGCAATATTTCRGATGTACCAGATGTACTTCATTCCCCAAATGATAACTATATTTTGCTCCATTATTTTGAATCTAAGGCTTGCTAAATCCGGTAAATACTTGCTCGTTGGATCCATTCAGTATGACAATTTATTTTATCAAAAAGTAGAAAAATTCGAGAGGAAGAAAATCAGTCAAAACAATTTAATTATAATATTGGTTTCTGTATTTTTACCATGAAAAAATCAATCCAGTATTCGACTTTGACATTTTGTGGGCGCTGTGTCGTTTTATTTCAGCTCATGTACAAGAATTGAAAACTTATTCGAATGAAGTATTTAACGAAGTAGTACAAGAACAAATAAGCTGTCAGCTTATCCGTGTTAAGTGGCTTCATTTTCGCAGCGGGATATGGAGGCAATTGATCGGGATTGTGCCTCTTTCTGATTTGAACCCAGAAGTGCTAAGTATTTCTCGCTTTATCCGCATTGAGCGACGAACGACATACGGCTAGCACTAGTTCTAGCAAGACGTTTGACAAGACTGGCTTGTTTATTGTYGTTAGCATATCGCTTCGCGATATTGTTGTGCGTAGCTTTCCTAACTTAGCCTCTCTTCTCAAAACCATCCTTGTTTTTACGAGGGTAGCACTTATAGCCAGTGGCTGTAGCCCTCGTTCCATGATCGAATTGGAATTTGGAGTTGATTTTTGTGGAGGGAGGAATACCGGAGAACCTGGAGAAAAACCCTCGAAGCACAGGATAGAACCAACAAACAACTCTACTCACAAGCGACACCGACTGACTCTCACCGCTTCCCACCCAACCCTTCGTTATACATGCTTCTGATGTCATCTTCTAATGATTTCCGAATGTCTCTTGTCTCTACTTGAATGGTCTTGTTTTTTTTTTCGAAATCACGCCTTCATAACCTACTGACTCTCTTTTCCTGACGTTCAGGTATACTTTTCGCTTTCTAGTTAGTTCTGAAACTTTAGTTTATTTTAAACAAATCATAATGTAAATTAACAGTAATGATGAAAAGGAAAATTATACACCGTGAGAAGATGAAAAAACTTACTGACGTATCGGTGTATAATTTWCCTTTTCATCATTACTGTTTCATTAGAAACACCGACGCAGCTCACACTAGTTTTTAGCTAGTTATATCTTCATAATGTAAATTGTGGCTACAATGTCTTGTTTTTTACTAGAAATATTACAGCGCTACTTGTTTTTTGAAGAGGCATGATTGGATACTTAATTGTGCGTGAGGACACTGTGAAGACTGTGAAATGCTGGCCCCTTTGGGTTGTCAGGGGGTGTACTATGCATAAAAACCGAAATTATAGCAAAATATAGAGAGAAAATACCGAGAATCCAAACTAAGTGCAGTAAAAGCTCTTTTCAGTTAACTGTTCCCAAGAAGCATTTTATAYCAGGAAAATACGCTTGATTTTCCGATCGAGATTACTTAATTACTACCTTAATTTTTAATTCTGAATATGAGCAAAGAGGAATAGGGTAGTAACTCTTTCTGGGATATTGCCAAATTGATAATAATAGGCATAAAAAAGAAAAAAAGAAAAAAGAAAA